ATTCAAGTGGCCACTAAATGAACAATTTTGTTTTGTCAACGAAATGTCAATTTAATGTCAACTTAGATCAATCCGAACAATTATTATTGTGCCCCAGTTTTTTGTATAAATATCGATTGATTCAATTCGCTTTGATGCATATTCGTTCTGCTGATTGATTCTGCTGCTTGTGCACTCTGCTCACTCTAGTCACACTGCTCTCACTTGGCCGGTCGTTTACTTCAAATATGAATCGTAAGTGTATTTATTCTTGTTTTACTCGTCAAATAACAACATTCTTTTCACTCGCGGTTTTTTTCTCTGTGCAAATAAAGTTTTTTTTTCGGTGAATATTTTTAAATAAATTTGTTATGCTTTCCTTTGTGAATTTTTTTTTTCATAGAATAGAATACAAAAAATTGAATAGAATTCTATTGTGTTTTCGCGAAGTGTGACTTTTGTTCGATAGATTTACACGTTTTCCTTTTCTTTATTCAATATTGAATATTCATAAGTGTTTAATGTTGTCGAAAGCAGCGTTTTTTTCCACTGACTTCATTTCATCTATCGATTCATTTCAGTGTTTGTATTTTGATTCGACATTTGGTCACATGAAGAAAAAAACAAGAACATTAACTAGCTGCGATAGAAAAAAAAGTAGTGCGTTGACTCCATTAACGTTGACTCCATTGACTAGGGGAAAGAACTGAATAAATGAAAATATAAATATTGTAAACAATAGCATATTCTACACTGTCAAAACTTTTCAACATTTTTGTGTTGTTGGCATTACATACTATATTACCGGATCTCCGTCAATATTGAACTGTCAACGCAGACGTGCTGTGTGTGTATGTATTCTAACGGAGATCCGGGATTATACAATGAAATTCACGGATTACCGTGAATTCCGTATATTACCAGAAATACCAACACAAAAATGTTGAAAATCCTGACAGTGTACCTAATTTGAATCAATACGCGTCAATGCGTGTCAATGCGCTGAATAACTAGCTACGAATGCATGCAAATACGGTCAATAAAACCAATACTTTTCCTAACAAACAAGTTTGCGGAAAAGTAAAATGTGCGTATTTGCAACTGTCATTTGTTCTCGCCACGAACGATACAAAGCAAGAATAATAACAGTACGAAACGCAGTGCAAATGCCTGTGAATACTTGTCAATAGAGCAAATATACCAATAGTTCTTTCCTCCTAGTCCATTCACTGAGTGATAAATAGAAATGAATCATTTCATTCTCATGGGCATTCATCCGTTTCAGTCATTTTTTTGATTTGTACCATTCACACAAACTTCAAACCAGACGAAATCAATCTCAATTGGACGCCCGTCGAGTCACAAATAACGCAATCGCAACAAGCGCGTTCGCAAGTCAAAAGTCAAAGCTAAATGCTTGGGAATACCGACCAAATTGATTTCAATTCGCCCCACTGAAATATCTAGAACAAATAACAATTTTAATAGGAATGTATGCTTTTTTTGCGTGTGTGTTCATGTCTCGAGTCGAGTCAAAAATTGAGCATCTAAAAATATCAGATGTGTCGCGTAGTTTTGATAACGCTTGTTCAGGAACTCCTTCATTAAAGTACAATTTGATTCGACGTCAGATTGATCTTCTGCTCTCTCTCTCTCTCTCTCTCTCTCTCTCTCTCTTTATCATCGCGCGCGTTGCAAGGGTACGACTTTAAAAAAAGAACTTCAATACAAATATCGTGCGTATTATCTGCGACAATTACGCAAAATAAATGTTTATTCGCGCTTTGTGTCATCAAATCAAGATTATTCTCGGTGTGTGTATGAGCCGTAAGACGCCATACACTAAACTGTAAGGACTACACACTTATTTTGATCAGATAACATGAAGAGCACATTCAAATCGAGCACCGCTGGCGTCAATCAATTCGAAGGTCTTGCGAGAGAAAAAAATATGCATGAATGTATAATAGGATTTGCGCACGTTTATTGTAACGAGTGTGAAAAACAGTTCAAAATGATGAGATGGAGAGGGTGAGAGGTATTTTCATGTCAACAAGCATATTTTTACCCTTTGATTTATCGAATAGGCTTCCTTGACACAGACAGACGAAAAGAATAAAAAAGAGCTTTTTGGAATTTAAACCCAGTACTTATGTTCTTTTTCTATGTTTTTGTTGCAGCTTGCGTGAAGTGCGAGTTATTCACCGCGGTGTTCATATCGCTTGTGTGCCTTACGATACAGTCGCCGCTGATTGTGGGAACGACCCAGCCGGAGTATCTTATCACCCGGGACGATATTCATGCAGTCTTATCAAAGTTGGTGCCAATTCAAAGATTTCGCTTTTTTTTCTTTTATGATTAAGCACATCATGTAGCATTGCCAGCCACTTCAAGATAACGTAAACAATGATGATTTTGCCCTCTCATTAGGATTATCAAGCCCGATGATAGCATTGCTCTTTTATCGGACTTCGATGGAACGTTGGGTAGAATCTGTCCCAATTCGGTATTGACAGCGATTGAACCAGCAGCAAAGGACGCCCTCGAACAATTAGTCAAACGCTCAAATACTTTCACCGGAATAATATCTGGACGTCCGATGGCTGATGTACGAAAGAGAGTTGGTATCGATAATTGCACATACAGCGGAAAACATGGCATGGAAATTGTATTTACCAATAAAACCGAATTTCATTATCCAATCACACCGGAACTGTATGCAAATTGCACGAAACTCAAGAGCATCCTTATGGCAAAGGTAAATTTGTACGATTTTATTCAGAGGAAAACACTTGAATCTGTTCACAGAATATGAAACTGAAACGTTCATTAGAAGAGTGCAGAGAAAAAAACGTTGAAACAGTTCAAAAAGAAATGGTTCAGCAAAACAAGTTCGAAGAAAAACCACTGTCTCAGAACTGTTTCACAAATCAAAGAAACTTTCAATGAGTTGCTTCATAAACTAACAGTAATTATTTTTCTCGTCCCGATATCCATTTCAGTATGTAACGAACCGAGCTCCTGCATGGGTTGAGGATAAAAACATTTCGCTCGTTTTCCATTATCGTTTGGTTCCGGAGCATTTACAAGAAGCAATGATTGCCGATGTGAGTAAGCTGGTGCGAAAATTTGGATATAATCCGGTGCCAGCCCATGCCGCAATTGAAATCAAACCTCCAGTGGTGTGGTCAAAAGGTCATGCGACGCTCTTAATTCTTAACGAAATCTACGGTAGTGGCTGGGAGAAGAATATTCGTGTCATATTTTTGGGAGACGACACCAGTGACGAAGATGTCATGAAAGTAAGTTTGATCCGGTTTTTTTTTATTATGGGTCAATATACATATTAACAAATGACTAAACGTTTTATTCTGCTATTTCAGATGCTAAAAGGAAAGGCAACCACCTTCCGTATCACCGATAATCCGGGTCTCGAAACACATGCCACCTATAGAATGCAATCGGTTGACACGGCTGTCTTTGTGTTGGATTGGCTTGTTAACAACACAAATTAAGATTAAGATACACTTGGTTTAAGCCTTTAAGTCGTTCTAGATTTTGAGAGGTTTCCGAAAATACCAAACTGTATTTAACCCTCTAATGCATTAATTTTTCCAAGGGCTGGGAGTACTGGTACTTGGTTGATTTTTGGCCATAGATAATTAAAAAAAATATTCATAATCTTGGATTCCTCATGGTTTAGTCAGAAAATGCGATTGACATAAATCATAGAACAATAAAATTGTTTAAAAGTGTCAAAAATGTGTCGAATTTAGAGTTCGAATAATTTATTTTGTCAAATTTTTGTTTTTGCACA